GCTATTGCGACCTTTAGTCCCAGTTCTTACACTCTTGGCAAAGATGTGGATATGCAGCTCCCAAAATCCTTCGAACGTCCTACCTCTCTAATGGCACTAACAATGTCAGCATGATTCATGGGCCGACCCTCTGAAACTAAGGCATAGCCGGTTAATCTGTCGGCTCTTTCTTTGCCAACAACACCCGCATTCCGTGGGACAAAGAAGAAGGCAACTCCACGCTCAGTGGAGTTTTGCAATGACTCGATCCACGTCTGGATTATTACAGTGTGGAGAGAATGGTGCATTAAGGAATGACCTGGGGATCCGGTCAACACTCAGAGGAAAGGAAGGGCAGACATACAATCAGACTGCTGTCTGTACAACCAAACTGATACTTTTCGCCTGCTGCAGAAGATAGAGATGGAGCACACATTGGAGGGTCCTGAATGCTGGGATGTTGGTTTTTTTTAACTTAATTCACCTTAGATTTCTGCCTTGATTATTTTGTTTCGTCTTACGACCACATAATGGCACGGATACCAGAAAGAAATGCAAGTACAGATATGACATGAGGCAACAAATTCCATGTACTCCACCTCAACTCCCCTCTTACGTGTTACTTGTTGTCTTAATCAGCATCCAAGCACATTGGCCTCCCCGATGCAGCAGTCATCTCACTGTCTCCATGCTCAACGTACCCAGTAGGAGTTGATTGGTATTTTTTCTCTGTTTGCCCCACGACCAGTTTCGGCATGCTTGTTCTTGTTTAATACCCATTTCTGACAGGAGGTCATTCGTTGTTGACTTTTCTCACCTCTCACAACTTGGAGGTAGATTTGTGTGTCTCTTTCTCAGTGTGGTGTCTCTCTCTCTCTCTCTCTCTCTCTCTCTCTCTCTCTCTCTCTCTCTCTCTCTCTCTCTCTCTCTCAAACCTCACGTTGTTAGAGACCAGCTGGCACTCATTGAGGGATGCAATTACCGGCCGTATTTACTTCCCAGAACTCATTAGGCTGACTGGACCTGGGGACCCAGCTTCATTAAAAATCTGATCACCTCCAAGGGAATTAAACCACATGAGAATTGGACCAGAAAACAAACCCTCTAGCCACTGAACCTCACATGATGCATATTCCCCGTGTAGAGACTACGCGACACCCCCCCCCCCACTCCTCTGTTTGAGGAAAAAAAAATAGAATAGACCCACTGCCCCTAACAAGCATGCCGCAGAGGGCGACTAGTTAGGGGTGCTCCTTTCGAAGTCAGAGAGCCTCATCCTGAGAGGTTAGGAACGACTAGTCTACCTACAAGTAAGTCAAATCTGTAAAACTGATGTGCACACAAAACCGAAGTAGACGAAGAAACAGTGGAAGTTTACAGCATGTGCACGCAAAGGAGGAGGAGAAGAAGAAGACATGGTGCATGCAACAGACTCAGAAAAATCAGTAACAGCAGAATCAAAATCGACGTCCCTGTTTGGGTTCTGGGGCTCCAGTGTAGTAAAAACAAGAATCGACCCACTGCCACTCCAACAAGCATGTCGTAAAAGTCAACTAATTAGAAACTTTATTTGAAGTAGGAGTGCATCTGCCTGAGAGACAAGGAACAAATAGTCTGCATACGAGGCACGCAAATCCCAGGGTTTGTAACAGGGCTAGATTCCAGAAGTGGACGAACAACCACAACGTTCCGCTGTAGTTTACAGCCATTAAATGCGAAGAAACCAAGAAAGAGATGGTTTTTTTTTTAAAGTATCAAAAACCTGGAAAGATGGAATAACGATGTTGATCATGATGCAAATAAAATGACTATCCAGAAACTCGGTACTATGGATATCGCAACCGTTCGGCCTTGATTCCATGATAAATACCGTAAATCTGGGAGAAATGTGGCTTTTCTGCCGGGCCACAAGAAGTTCGTCACCCGGTCGCCACACAGTCCAGTTTGACAAACTGCGCTAGCGAGCCGGGCGAAGAGATGGACAAATAGTATAGATGAAACCTGCAAAATGTTGAACAAATCCATCACTTCATCACTCAAGTCACTTGAGAAGCGCAAGACAAATACATAAATACACTGGGTTACAACCTGGTAAAAGTGAGACGACAAAAGAAGAAAGAAGAAATCCGAAGAAAAAGAGGAAAATCAACAGATTCAGAAACAACAGACTCTGAAAATCAGAGTTCGCTGTCATGTCAGAGTTAACTACAAAACAGTGACTCCTGCTCTCTGTCCAAAAGCTTTTACAATCTAGCCAGGACAGTTTCGCTGGTTCGACCAGTTTGGAATTATATCAGCAAGACATGGCTTGTTTGTTTGTAATCTGAACTTAAAAGAAATGTCCTGACAACTAGAAATATTTGAGAGGACTCGTCTGGTAACAAGTTGGACGTGAATAAGCCCAGAAAGAATGTCTATTTTGGTTGATGAATGTAGCTAATATACTATTACGATTTAGGTTTTAAAAAAATTACTATCATCATGTGCCATGCTGATAATCTTGGGCGCTCATGCTTAGACATTCCACACCATCACCACACCATTCATGTAACCAAGGCATCTAGGTATTTTGTGTGTGTCTTTCTCTTGCTCTTTTTCCCTATCAAGCTAGTCAGTTGTCACCCAGTTTTCTAGTTGTTTTCCTTTTACTAAAATGTTGATCAAATCGTCAGTACATGTATTGTTGCAATAAACATTACAGTTTATGTAAGGGGACAAACGACGAAAAACGGAGAATGAGAAGCAACAATGAAATTCATCATCTGTTTAAACCATCATTAATTTCTAGTTTTACGAGGGCTAACAGACTGCAATGGGTTGGACACACACAGAGAGTATGAGCGATAACAGAGAGAGAGAGAGAGAGGGGGGGGGGGGAACTGTCGTCAAACTAAAATTGTTGAATGGGTGACCAAGACAACTGTTGAGAGATAATATGCAGGTAGATCTACAAACACTGGAGCTACCAAGTGGACAGGAAAGACCAACAACAGAGATGAATGGAGCCTGGTGATATCTGCACCATTTCAACTCAAACTGGAAATGAAAGGTCAACCACAGAGATGAATGGAGCCTGGTGATATCTGCACCATTTCAACTCAAACTGGAAATGAAAGGTCAACCACAGAGATGAATGGACGCTGATTTCATCTCAAAGGCTCAGAACGCCGAAAAAGAAGAAGAAGAATGGGGCCTGTTAAGAACTAAACCAAAGACCTTCAGATCCGACTAGCCACTACATCACGGTGACGGTTGCCCCGTTGTAAACTACTTAACATAAAATTGTCTGAAAAACCGCACACCAGTCGAGAAAGGTTGGAGATAGTTTGCAAAGTCCCCAAAAGGATTTGCAATTGACTTGTAACTTTAATATAAAACAAGTCGTCCCCGTTGTAAGCGTCCTTTTTCTCTGGGCATGCAGGTTTATTTGGAAAATTAACAGGCAGACAGATTAACTGGTGCTGCACCTGAGCGCATATGGGAATGTCCCAAGAGCTAGAAAATATATTCTTAACACAGCGCAACTCAAAACAAAGCGATCTGTGACCTCACATGTATGCCCTCACCCCCCCCCCCCCCCCCCCCCCCATTTTCAAATCGTGCGTGGTAATTAAATGTTTCTTGTGGAGAATGTAGCAGGAGACTGGTTGCCTGAGTAGGCCAAATGAACATGCGTAAACCAAACCAAACAGAACCACTTTTCTTCATACGCCCAAGTGCTTTACTGATATTTTGACAGAGATGTATTTATTTCACAACAGGCAACATGTTACCCTAACTGGTTCGTCTGGTAGAGCTACAAGGCGTGCAGGTTCTAAGCAATTCTTCCACCCCCCCCCCCTTTTTTTTGTGTGTCCATCATCTTTTCTCTGCATGGGATGCGATAAGCAACTCTGTCTGTGACCACTTGGTTAGTAATTTGAAAACTCAAACAGCAAGGTTATTTCGAAACAAACCAACGCAATGTAAGCAATTGTTGTTTACTATATCAATAACCTATTAATATAATGATCATTTAATTATTTAAACTTTAACATACCAACATGCCATGTTATTTTGTTTATTGTGTTTGTAGTTTTCATGAAAATCAAGAAATTAGAAACAATGTTAACATCAAAGAAAAAAGATAGCAACAAGCGGCTATGTTATAAACAGAGGACACGTGATTAACAGAGTCAAAACATTAAGGTATTTATCGGAAGTCATAACATTAGACGAAAGACAAGCAAAGGAGATTAAGTGCAGGACACTAATATAACCTGATGGTTGCACGGAGTTTCCGGGACCTCTCCCCTGGTAATCTCATCCGTATGGTGGCACTTTGTGTCAGCAGGTGTTTATCGTTTTGTGTGATGTCCTGGTCAAGTAGGAGTATATTATTCATTTAATGCGTTGGTATACCTCGTGACAGCTAGAAATGTCAACGGTTAAACAATATCAAGAAAATAAATAACTTTAAACTTTAACTGCAGATTGAGACAGAAAAAAAAAAAATCAGTAAGTGTAACATATTTTAAGAGTAAGTAATGGTTTATAAATTATCTGTTATTACTGTACTCATTACCTGATAACTATATCTTTATTCCTAATTTCATATGCAAAGAACAACGAGAGTTATGGGAACTGTTCGCATATTACTACTTTTGGTTATGTCCCTGGAATACAGCAAAGGCCAAGGTCAGTATAACATGTTAATTTGTTTCTTTATTTTTACTCATTCTTCTCCTGCTCTTTCTTATTCTCAGCTTCCTTGTTCTTATCCTCCTCCTTTTTGTTTTCCTACTTCTTCTCTTCCTCCTCCTGTTCCTTCATCATCATCATCATCTTCTTTTTCTGTTTCCACTTTTGATTTTTCAAGCATCTCTTTTGGCTTGTATCTCCCAGCAGAATCACTCGTCAAATTATTGAAACAATAAATTAGCAAAGCAATAAACAATTCAGCCAGTCAGCCACCCAGTCAACCTATCGCCCTGCGAGCATGTAATGTATGCAATGTAGCCACTGATGGTCCGTATCCCCAGAACGGCGCTGTGACGTACCCGCTGACGTGGTCTTCCTGATGGACGCCTCCGACAGCATCAAGCCCACGGAATGGGAACAGGAGAAAGACTTTGTGTCCGTGCTGATAGACAACCTGGAAGTGGACAGGTACGCCATCCACGTGGGGGTCATCGTCTACAGTACCGAGTTGGGTCAGGTAGGTGGCGCTAGCACATGGAAATACATATTTGTATCATTCTCGTTTAATTAGCCTAGCCACCATACTTTCTTGAGTCAAAATCGACGGAATGAGAGGGAAAAAAGGGCACAGGGTGACAGAACGTGATATTGGATGACAACAGAAACCACAGACTGTGATAACAAAAGCAGGAGGTTGGCTTCTTTTACGCTTCAGTTCACCCCATCTCGGGGAATCCGAGAGCTCCAGGGGAAAGTCTAATATTATAGGGGGGTTAGAGTTAGATTTAGTCGATGCTAATTTCAAATCGTAATACCAGTATAAGAATGAACTTTCCCCTGGAACTCTTGGATTCTAGGAGATTGCCGGGGAAAAAAACAACTGGAGGTTAAAATAAAAAAGGGACAAAGGGGTATATAGAAATAACAGTGGAGTGACAAGGGGTATGGCAGTTTGGGTTTTAGGAACTGTTTATCGGAGTGATAACAACAGAACAGTAGGGTGAGAAAATATGACACTGCGGCGACAAAAACGAGACATTAGGATGACAACGATGGGACCTGATATTAGGGTGACAATGATGGGACCTGATATTAGGGTGACAAAGATGGGACCTGATATTAGGGTGACAATGATGGGACCTGATATTGGGGTGACAAAAACGGAACAAGACTTTAGGGTGACAAATATGTGACCTGACACTAAAGCTGACAGAACAGGACATTGTGGTTACATCACCGTGTTATGACATTAGGTTGACAAAAACGGTAAATGACATTGAGGTGACAAAACAGGACAATGGGATGAAGGGGGCGGGGGTGGGGAGCGCTGAGCAGAACATTTAGGACATTAGGTGACTAAAAGGGACAATGGGGTGACAAAAACGGGACATTATAAAAAAAAATAAACAGGACACTAAAATGAATGTTTGTGTCCTTCTATTCAACTCTATCATTCACACCGCAATGTCAAGCTGTCCTGCATCTTAAATGGGTACCAGGTAAAGCTCTGGGAAGTAAAGGCGGCCATGTGACGCTGACCACGTCGCCCACCAAGTGTGGATTGATCTATAAAATATAGGTCTAGTCCTGTTAGGCGATACGTCTGGAGACGTAAAAACGCGCCCTTTTGCTTTATTTGCACACTTCAGGCCCATCCATATTAGACTACAAATTATTTCTTATTATAACTACCAAATAGCAATAGGGCTGAAATGGGGTTTTCAGGGTTTATACCTGTTTGATTCTCATCTTTAATATGTGAATGTTACAGACTAAAATCGTGGTGGAGAAAAAGGGGGCGGAGAATGTCCCCGATACACCGATGGCGTGTAAAAAGGTATTTTACTTGTTGATTCCTTACCTTCTCCAGGTGATTGACCTCCAACCTTTCAAAACGAAGAGTCAACTGAAAGGTCTGCTTCAACAGGCGGAGCAGATAAACCAAGGTGAATATTATTGCTAACACGTAGATTTTGTACTTGCTTCTGCGTATTGTCAAAAACTATTGACAACTTGTTAGCTTGATTTCCATGTCTCTAGTTTATCCCCCACATTGTTTTTTAGGGGTGTTTGTAAGGCTCAGCGGCCTAGATGTTAATTAATGCTTTTAACAATTGCATCATTCCTGAACCAAGTTTGACAATCTTCATATGCAGTGACGTCGATCAAAATAGCATTCGTACAATACAGCCTTATTCGGCGTCAGTGGTTTATGAGGTTGCGAAGGCGCTTGGTAATTCCTAGATACCCAGTTCGATTCCAGGTGCATGCGATTCGGTAACAGATCACTTTGCGCTGATTTCGAGAGTTGTGTGGGTCATAGACCGCTTAGACATTGTCAGACTACTAAACATAAAATGTCCAAGTAAAACCCCAAAACAATCAAAAACATTTAGGAGCTAGTTTTGCAACCTTATGTAAAGGATACGCAACTACCTTTAAAAAAAAAAAATGCAAATACAATGCTCGAAGTTTAAAGTTTGAACAACGGATCAACATCATGGCACACGGGTAGTAATCCATAAGTGCTCCGTTCTTCTTTTAACTCAAGTGTGAGTCCGAAGAAGCTCAGCACAGTGCACAGGCTCTGTAACACCGGAGGGGATCCTGAAATACTTTAGGTACATTTTTAACTCCAAATTTTTGCCTGGGCAGCGCCGTCAGGCTACTCTTTTCGATTTCCAACTGCCAAGGAACTTTTTACGTGCTTAATAATACACACGGCCGTCCGATTCCACTACTCCAAGACCCGGGGGAATTACAAGTCCAAGTGAAAAAATCCCAGCCCTTACCGGGGATTGAATCCGGAACCTCTAGCACTCGAGGCGGACACTATGCCTCGAGACCACGCAGCCCCCCCTCCCCCCATCCCTATATAGAGTGAAAGTTCTTTAGGGAAAGTCACTCTTTAAGGCACGCCTGAGAGTTTCTTTTTCTCTAGCTAATTTTCCAACGTTATGTGCTTTCAAAACCAATGCATCTGTAATGTCTTGTATTTACCTTTGTGGAGGTCTGCCTCTGACTCCTTTTCTAGAAACTGTATCTTCCACCGTCGTTTTGTTTTCTCTTTGCCGCGATGGCTCTTGACGTGGCTAAAGTACATGATCCTTCGGGATAGGATGCTGTTTATAAGCCAATTCTCCTCGATGCTGAGGTCATGCAAGATGTCGGTGTTTGCCCTCTTCTTGGTCCACGGTGTTCAAACAATCTTTCTTTAGCTTTTTATTGCAAAAGCTCCGATTTTTGGCTCATAGGATTCAGTAAGAGCTTATGACTCACATCTGTAAGTTGCCACGGAGAAGTTGCATGATCTCAGAATGTTTACTTTAACTTGCTTGCAGGCGTTGTGCCATATATCTTTGTACAGTTTAGTCTCCGCACTGCCAGAGCAATTTTTTTCTAACTTCTTTGGTGCAGTCGCCAGTATTGTCCAATGGTTAGTTGCGTATCCTTTACAGGACGTTGCAGAACCACCCGCAGCAGCCCCAGGCTGTTGTGTGGTTTCTCTAGGCAAATTTACGTCCAGTAGTTTGCCATTGCTCTCTGGACGGTCAGCCCCCTGAAACCACTGTCGAAACCAAAGCAAGGCGCATGGCCTGCTGCTGGGATCGAACCCGGCACCCCGGCATTACGAAGCGTTCTCAACGACTTAGCCACAGAGCCGACGTATTGTCCAATAATGAGCCCAAATATTCGAAATCTGTGGCATTTTCGATCTCTGCCAGAATTAGTTCTTATAAGAACTAAAAATATTTTGTTAACTACTACAACAATAGTGAAATGATGGATATATGTATATCACATTGCTGAATCGCCAGTTTGTGTACATCCCTTATGTTCTGTATCCAGGAACCGACACTGCCAAAGCCATCAGTAAAATGATTGAGATGTCCGAAAACCAAGGGCGGATTGAGGCTGGCGCCAAGCAGATTGGGGTGATCATCACAGACGGAAGGTCGACGGATGTTTCGGCTACCATCAGGGTAAGAATAGGGAACTACGGTAGGGGTTGCTGTGCAGGTGTTGTTTTTGCTGATTTCATTTTGTTTTTATCTTTAAGGTATGATCACAGAATAGCGAAAACTGTTATACCTGGCCTGGCAATGGACAGGATCTGCAAATAAATAAATACGGCAAAAACGATAATGGCATGTGGCATAATAATTTGATATGTCCGGCTCTATATCCATGTCCGGGTTGGTGGATATGAGGGTACAACCTGAAGCTGCCAGGCCGAAATATTTCACTAAAGGCACACGTCTTTTTGTTAATGGACCCACTGAAGCTGCTGAGGAGGATATCGGAGCATCTGTGAATGTCCGAAACAAAGAATCCTGTCCCATGCTTTTATACTATTGGGCACACAGGGCTAGATATAATATATTATTCTATAGATATATTTTATAGACCAATCGGCACTCGGTGGGCTATGTGCTCAATACCCTGTCGGCCGTCTTTATTTCCCTGAATGTTACCTGGTACCTATTTAAAGCTAGGTCGACCTAGGAGCTAATGTCATTTCTGAAAATAGCTCGGCTCTGCCAGAACCTTCGGATCCGCAGGCGAGCGTCTAGCTACTACACCATGGAGGCTCCCAACTATACGGGGTTGCTGTGATACTAGTCCCTAACCGACTGACTTCCCTCCTTCGGACTTTTGCCTGAAGGTTTAACATCCCTGCGACTCAAAGTCATATCACGGACGGCAATCCTACTGGGCAGATCTCTTATATCCCTTTCAACCACTTAGGAGGTTATAATTAACGACTAGCCCAAGAATTGATCGGGTTTGTTCTGCAGTCCTGGGCAGGTAAGAATTGTAGTTATTTAAGCCGACGCACTGTCTACCTAATAAGCATGTCGTACAAAGCGACTAATTAGTGGAGTTTTCTTCGAAGTTGGAGTGCCTGAGAGGCGAGGAGCCATAGACTACATACAAATAAGCCATGTCTGTCAAATGGATGCGCATGCAAAACGCAATTTCTGGAACAAGACCAAAGTCCAGAGGTGGACTAACCAGACCTTTCCGACATAGTTTACAGCTGATGAACGCTAAGAAGAAGAAGAAGAAGAAGAAGAAGAAGAAGAAGGGGGAGGAGGAGGATGAGGATGAGAAGAAGAAAGCAATGATGATGAAGATGATGATAAAGATGTTAACAGCAACACCTGCGACGATGCCGCTTTCAACGATAATTATAATGTTTACACGACAATGAAAAATTTCAAAACAATGTTTTCCTATAGGTTAGATGCGTATCCTTTACAGGACGTTGCAGAACCAACCCCAACAGCCCCTGGCTGTTGTGTGGTTTTTCTAGGCAAATTTACGTCCAGTAGTTTGCCATTGCTCTCTGGGCGGTCGTCTTTCTTGATACCACTTTTGAAACCAACGCAAGGCGCATTGCCCGCAGCTGGGATCGAACCCGGCATTACGAAACGTTCACATCGACTTAGCCACAGAGCAGACATGTTTTTCTATAGTGAATTTGAATAATGCGAACACAAACACATACATAGCACATTTGATTGCCAGTCATATTTCGTAGATCTCGTGTGCACTACCACAAAGTAGCAACAAGGTTTCGTGACGTGGAAGTAAAGAATGATGAAGCGTGTCTATGTCGTTTTCAGCGTCAAGACACAAGACAACTATGAACAACATGGGAACAATCAGTAGAGGTACCTGGGGGTGACTGCTGCATCTGAGGACTGAGCGTGCTTGGGAATGTCCAGTGCGCAGTGACCCTGAATGTGATAACATAACTACAGACTCACATGAATATACAATGAAGCAGAAAGGCCGAATTAATTCCACTGAAATACATAGCCTCACATCATATGGTCTGTCTGGATACACTGTTGGTCTAATGATGAAAACTTTATTTCCTGTTGCAGGAAGCCCGACGGGCTAGGCTGGACCGTCACATGACCATGATTGCCCTGGGAGTGGGAAACGAGACTTTCCTGGAGGAGCTGGTGGAGATCACGGGGCACGAGAACACCAACAGACTGTTCCAGGTCAAGGACTTTGCTCAACTACGGGACGTGGTGGCTCAGCTGCAGGAGCTCATTTGTGAAAGTGAGTAGGGTGTTATCGGACTGGTTGGCTTGTATGTTTGAGCCGATGGGTGAGCTAGATATGTGGGCGAGCTAGAGGTGTGGGTGAGCTAGATGTGTGGGTGAGCTAGATGTGTGGGTGAGCTAGATGTGTGGGTGAGCTAGATGTGTGGGTGAGCTAGATGTGTGGGTGAGTAACAAAAGTAAAGGTAAGGGACATTGTTCCTTGCTTTGTTGTTTTTGGGTAAATGGTGCTAGATTTATATCTATAGAGACCCATCTGTCCAATGATGATGTCTTGAGAGAAACTGACCACGAAGAGAACTGATTTCTCACATCAGAAAGAGACGATCTACATTCTTTCGTCTTAGGATGGGAATGAGAAAACAGGAGTACACAGTGACAGTGGGAAAGCTGGGAGGCAGAAGAGGAAGCGGGAGACCGAGCGAGAAGATGCTGGACAGTTTGACGTCATGGCATGGAACGTCATCTGTGTCAGAGTTGATTGAAAGTACACGAGGCAGAAGGTTGTGGATAGACATGACTACCAAAGCCACACGGCATGGGCTTTAAGAAGAAGAAGAAGAAGAAGAAGAAGAAGAAGAAGAAGAAGAAGAAGAAGAAGAAGAAGAAGAAGAAGAAGAAGAAGACTCATCGGTAGGTAATGTTTGATGTCAGCAGCGCCGAAACTTAGGGTCTCAGGCAATCTGAGCCACCAGCCCCTACCCGCAGATAAAGTGTAGAAGTAATCGTAAGTATTTGCAAACATATTTCACATTTAAACGAGTACGCCCAGGAAGATAATGATGGTCTGGGTCTGAAGACAGTTGTTGTATTTCTCTGAGGGGCTGACACAGATCAGTTTCATTTTCCTGCCAGGTATGCAGGTGTGCGAGGAAATGAGCAAGCTGATAGGCTTGCAGGTAAGACTACTGTGGATGGATGACGAGCAATGGACCAGGTTGTTATACTGAATGCTCTACAAGAAGTAAGTCTTTTGCGAGAACTAAGTGATGTCCATGAATCTGTAACAATGACCAGACAGCAAGAGCAGCGTGTTAAAAGTGGTGTGATCATAAAAGCAGGAAGCCAAAGGAGAATAAGAAACCAGTACATAACTGTCGTCATCAGCCGCTACACGTTGCGGGATTTACTGAGCAGGGCATCGGAGCACTTATAGACTGAATGATTCGATCTGCAATGAGGATAATCTGTCGATTAACTAACTGATTATATTTCACATCTATTACTGTTTATTTGCCATTCAGATCATTATTGTGATAATAATATTATTATTTTTACGCTGTAAAATAAGGCTTTGGTCCATTACACCCTCACATCCTAAAAATGTATCGAGCGTTAATTCCCCTCTACTCACACTCCAGCCATCCCTCAATGTTTTATTTGTGTCGGCTCCCCTGTGTGAAAAGCTAATATCCTGCCAATCGGCGTGTCATGCCTCAATTCGAATATGGAAGATGACGATGACCACTTTTTTCATCAAGTATGAGTAGGAAGATGACTGATGAGGCCGCTGAGTGCCTGAACAGTTCTTGGACAGCGAGGACAGGGAATGAGTGTTGTGCCAGGGAGGGGATCTCCGGCAGTCGCCTTTCTATCCATTCTTTTCCTAATCAGTCTTGCTGGTCTGTGTGCTTCACATGTAGCCGCGCCCTTGGTGATGAAAGGGTGACTGTGCGCGGTGACCTGGATTAGAGTGAGGAAGGGTTGCACCGTCTCGTCGACCTCCCCTGAATCATATCTGGGTTCAGTGGCAAGACACGAGTCAAGACGACTTTAGATAGGTCTAGGTGCAGTGGATGACCAGGTCGCGCTACGTGCCTCGCCATGCTCTTTGCGCTCCACAGCGCTTTGCTAGTGCCGCTGTCTTCTCCGTTGAACTGGTGTGGTTTCCTCCGCGCCATCTACCGACGGTAGTATTTGTAAGATTGGATAGGCAGATCCTGACTCACCGGTGGTGACAAAAAACAAAAAAAAACATCGGCTACCCTCACCTGGTTTTGCCGGCCTGCCAAAGCCGTTGCCCGGGAGTTGGCCACTGTCGCATACTGACAAGGGTGAAAGCTGAGTGTCCGTTTTAGACCAAAGGTTATCAAGCTGTCCTGAAAAAGTCATGACAGGCTCCCAAAGCAGAGGTACTACCAATAACTGACACCACATACGCCCTTACACACACACACACACACAGATAGAGAGAGAGAGAGAGAGAGAGAGAGAGAGAGAGAGAGAGAGAGAGAGAGAGAGAGAGAGAGAGAATTGTATGAATTATCTATCTAACTTGACATTGCAGTTATTCCAGCTACAACCACAAAGAAATCTATAACATCAGCTTCAACAACAACTGTAGTACCAACAACTAGTCCTGTCATCCCACGTGAGTTTATATGTCTTTCTGTTTACCGTTCTGTCTGTCTGTCGTTCTGTCTGTCTATTTATACGTTCGTCTATCCATCCATTCGTCCATCCATCCATCCATTCATCCATCCATCTATCTACATGCTTGTCTGTCTGCATATCTACATATCATCTTCTCAACTGTTTGCCTGTCCATTAGTCAGTCTTGAAAATGTATGCATGCATATAGGTAAACGCGCACATACGTACCTACTGTCATGAGTTAGTTTACGATATATTGAGAGAGAAAGACAAACAATGACTAGACTTCCACCAATAAGAGCAGACAGGACAATTACAGGTCAGACATATTGTGTGTAGACAAGGCCGACAGAGGATACAATGTAACTTAGTGTTACTCATCGCTTGGTGCAACAAAGCCTCGCATATAATATCACAACGTCTACTTTAAGAATGGAGATGGAGGCAGTCACTGCTACCTTCCGCTTGCTTGAGAATCAGCGGTACACACATGCCGTGTTTGTAACTGACTCACAGAGATGCTGAGAAAGGTGGAGATAGGCATGCTTCGTGCAGAGTGGCAAGCATCACTTTAAAAGTCCCGGGTAGTTAGCGTCCTTTGGATATTTACTCCAGGCTATGCTGTTGTGTTGGGAAATGAGCAGGCAGATACTGACCGGCTCTGCACCACTTGGTGATGAATTGATGTATGGCAGGGTAAATATTGTGAGGGCCCTTTAAGGAGCGAGTGAACAGTTCGGAAGCACAGATAGATCATTACGGTCTGAGGAGAATGGCGCTGCGAGGAGTTACCAGGGGATCTGGCAGACGCTCAACACTGAGGGGAAGGGCGAAACGCATATACAACCAGACAGTAACTGGTGCCATCGGAATTGCAACTCTTCGTTTGCTACTGAAGACGGGGACGGAGCGAACATGGAAAAAAAAAAAAAAAGAAATTTCGAAATGGAATTTATTAGTGAGCTTTCGATGTTAGGTACCGGCTTCTGGCCTTAAACGATTCCCATTTGTAACATCCTGATCCCTGAGTTAATTGAGCTGTATAGCCTTGCTCTGTATGTTGCTAGTGCGACAATGCTACTGTATTTCCCCCCCCCTCCCCCGTCTTCCGCTGTCTGTCCACCTATATGTGTGTGAGTGCCCAAGTTTGAAATTTGAAAAACGGATCAACATCATGGCACACGGGTAGTAACCCATAAGTGCTTCGTTCTACTTCTAACTAAAGTCTTAGTCCGAAGAAGCTTAGCACAGTGCACGGGCTACGTAGCACCGGCGAGGATCCTGAAATATTTGGGTAGATTTCAACTCAAAATTTTGCCAGGGCAGCGCCGTTAGTCTATTTCTGTCGATTTCCAACTGCCAAGAGATCTTTTTACGTGCGCAACAATACACACGGGCGTCCGATCTCACTACCCGTAGACCAGGGGAAATTACTAGAAGTCCACGTGAACAGAAAAAAAATCCCAGCAGAGTATCAAGTTCATACCGTGGACTCCACTAGCCTTCGGGTGCCTGTCCATCCATCAATCCATCCATCTGTTCATCCATCCATCCAAGTTTCACCGTTGACTCTGTTTCCCCCAGCGTTTCCCTGCTCCATGCCGGCCGACTTGGTGTTCCTGATTGATGGCTCCTACAGCATCTCACCCCCAGACTGGGTCAAAGGTAAACAGTTCGTCTCCTACCTCATCAACAGTATCGATGTCGGTGTCGACTCCATTCACGTGGGTATCGTCGTGTACGGGTCTGATATCGGGGATGTAGTTCCACTACAGCCTTTCAAAGGTAAGTGCCATTTATCTGTCTGCTGTGCAATAATCTCTCACTCTCCCTCTCTCCCTCTCTCTTTGCGCTCGCATGTGTGTGTGTATTTGTGTGTCTATGTATGTGTATATGTGTGTGTGTGTGCGCGTGCCCGTGTGCTGTCTCTCTTTTTCACTCTCTCTTTTCATATTTTTGTGCTCTCTGCTCCCATCTCTCTATTCTCTACCGCTGTGCGTGTCCCTATGCTATCTCTCTCATCGTAGAATTTTTGAATGTGTTGTGTCTCTCTCCCTCTTTCCCCCTGTGTTTGTGCTGTACGCACGACTCTCTCTCTCTCTCACTCTCTCTCGCTCTCTGTACTGTTTCAACCAAAACGTATCTGTCAATATCTCTTCTCCTCTCTATTGTATACTTATATATTCCTCTGTAGTCTTTTGGGGACCAATTGTGGGATAGAAAGGGGAAGAAAAATATACCCACTGCCTTACTAACAAAAAAAGAATGTCGCAAAAGTTTTCCATTCTGTGCATTTGTTAGAGAGGCGAAGAACCAGCAGTTTATATTAAGCCAGATCTGTAAAACGGATGTACACGCAAAACTCAAGTTCTGGAACAAGACTAAAGTACAAACCAGAACTTTCCACTGCAATTTACATGCAGGTGAACGCAAAGAGAAAATAAGAAAAGGAAGTACTTAAGTAAACAAATCAAACTTTAACTCTTTCCGTATCATTCAACTTGCCATGGGGATTGTGGGGGAAAAAAGGGGTAGGGGCAGGGGGAGGGGTAGATGGCTTCAACGGATGTGATTTACTTTTATGAGCCACTTGTGATTGATTCACTTATTACACTCACTCACTTCAGCCTAGTTATTCATTCTCATTTTTGGGGGTCCAATTGTGATATTGTTCTCAGACCCAAACATCCATTTAAAAAAGTGGAATTTAAGGATACAACGATTTAATAAAACATATGCTTTGTACTAACAAAGTTAACTCAGCCCAACTTCGAACACATGATTTCTCTTATCTTCAATCAATCAGGTGCAGTCTAATCACATAATCTTGGCTGCAGTGGATCCCAAACACTCTATGCCTGTTGTCTTGATACTACACTCTCTCAAACTGTTGTTCAAACATCTCTAGGTGATGTCATCCCACTTGCAGCATTGTCTGCTTCTTGCCTCTTGCCTTCAACTTTTAACTTCAAATGTTCTCATCCCAGATAAGAACCAGCTGAAATCAGCTGCGACTGGCCTCATCCAGCCACCAGTTGGCAGAACCAACACCGCTTTAGGCCTGCAAAAGGTCAGAGAGATGTTCAACACACACGGCCGACTCCAGGTCCCACACATCGTCATTGTTATCACAGACGGCATGAGTTCCAACCCATCAGAGACCAGAGACCAAGCCATCATGGCCAAAAGAGAGGTGAGTGAATAATTAGCACAGGCAGGGGCACTGACACAAGACAACATTAGAGGTGCTGGGGGCAGCGGTTTAACAAATACCTAAAGCAGACAGGGGCACTGACACAAGACAACATTAGAGGTGCTGGGGGCAGCGGTTTAACAAAGGACCTAAAGCAGGCAGGAGCACTGACACAAGACAACATTAGAGGTGCTGGGGGGCAGCGGTTTAACAAAGGACCTACAGCAGGCAGGGGCACTGACACAAGACAACATTAGAGGTGCTGGGAGCAGCGGTTTAACAAAGGACCTACAGCAGGCAGGGGCACTGACACAAGACAACATTAGAGGTGCTGGGGAGCAGCTGTTTAACAAAGGACCTACAGCAGGTAGGGGCACTGACACAAGACAACATTAGAGGTGCTGGGGGCAGCGGTTTAACAAAGGACCTAAAGCAGGCAGGAGCACTGACACAAGACAACATTAGAGGTGCTGGGGGGCAGCGGTTTAACAAAGGACCTACAGCAGGCAGGGGCACTGACACAAGACAACATTAGAGGTGCTGGGAGCAGCGGTTTAACAAAGGACCTACAGCAGGCAGGGGCACTGACACAAGACAACATTAGAGGTGCTGTGGAGCAGCTGTTTAACAAAGGAACTACAGCAGGCAGGGGCACTGACACAAGACAACATTAGAGGTGCTGGGGGCAGCGGTTTAACAAAGGACCTACAGCAGGCAGGGGCACTGACACAAGACAACATTAGAGGTGCTGGGAGCAGCGGTTTAACAAAGGACCTACAGCAGGCAGGGGCACTGACACAAGACAACATTAGAGGTGCTGGGGGCAGCGGTTTAACAAAGGACCTACAGCAGGCAGGGGCACTGACACAAGACAACATTAGAGGTGCTGGGGGCAGCGGTTTAACAAAGGACCTAAAGCAGGCAGGGCAGGAGGTGCTCAATAGGCCTAGGACTTTTCAGGTGCAAAATAATAATGATAGTCTGCTGAAAAGCAAATACATTTATTGATGTATCTGCAATTTGAAAGAAATTCAAATGAAAATCGTACACTGTGATAGGGGTGTGAGTGATATCCGCAGCAGTGAAAAAGACATTAAAAGAAATACTTAACCTAAAATTTTTAATTCTAATGTATGGGGTGGAAATGTGGAGAACAACTAAGGCAGTTACTAATAAACTGCAGAAATTCATTAACTGGTTCCTGCGCAGAATAGAGGGAATCAAATGGTATGATAGAATCACTAATGTAGAGCTTTGGGAGAAAACTAAGCAAGCTCCAGTGTACCAAGATCTGAAGAAAAGACGCTGGCGTTGGATAGGACACACTTTGAGAAAACCGGAGAGCAATATAACTAGAATGTCTTTGCATTGCAAGCCACGGGGGCATAGGAATAAAGAAGAGCCCCAAAAAAACAAAAAAACAAACACACACACATTGAGAAGGGAGTTGGAGAATGAAGTTAGAAAGATGGGGAAGACATAGGGAAAGCTGCATGCGATAGCAAAAGATAAAACGACTTGGCTTGAGTTGGTTGAGGGACTATGCTCCATTGGGGGCTAGAAAGGCAGAAGAAGAGGAAGCAGCAGTAAATCTCAAGGGCTGGATTTGCTGGAGAAGAAGAAGTCCCATTGTTCACATATAACAAAGAGCAGCAGCGTTCTATTATCTCTTTATTGTTGTTGTTGTTATTGTTGTTGTTATTGTTATTGTTGTTGTTGTTATTGTTGTTGATCAGTGAAGGGGTGAATCCTAAAGAAATTCATCAGCGAATGAAGGTCCAGTATGGTGGTGCATGCCTGTTAATCCAGTAGGTGTATGAGTGGAGACAGAAGTTTCAAAATAGTGTAACTTCTGTGACAGACTGCTCACTTTCAGTGTTCCTGACCTGGTCGTGAACAGTCTGTCGATGAGGTCACTCACACTGCCATTACTCCTACCCAAGTCCGCTTGGACATGGCTGATAATGACTGGTTTGGATGTTCTCTTATATCTACGTCTGACTTTCCTTTTCTTTAATTGGGTTTCTATCTTGGGTTTCTATCTTGCATTTCAATCTTGAGTTTCAGTTTTAGGTTTTTATCCTTGGTTTTCATCTTGGGTTTCTATCTTGGGTTTCCATTGCGGATATCACAGCTTAGCTGTAAGATATAACACAGAGTGCCAGCCTCATTTTCAAAGGTGAATGCAGGAGAAAAGGAAGTTAAATTTATAGTCATATTTTCTGTTACAAAGGTCTGGGGGGGAGGGGGGGGGGGGGGAATGTGGTTTCCTATGGAAAAATAATTTAGCATTTCGTTTCATGCTCTGAAGTTTTTTGGTTTCCATCAGTATAAATACAAGCAGCAGTTAGTAGTAGCAGCAGCAGTTAGTTGTAGTAATAGTAATAATAGTAGTAATAGTAGTATTAGCAGCAGCAGCAGTTTAGTGTTATTAATAATAGTAGCAGTAGCATCAGCAGTTATTAATAGTAATAAAAGTAGTCATAGAAGTAGCAGCAGCAGTTAGTAGTAGTAATAGTTGTAATATTGGTAATAGTAGTAGCAGTAGCAGTTAGTAGTAGTAATAGTAATAATAATAGTTACATTAGTAGCAGCAGCAGTTTAATAATATTAATAATAGTAGTAGTAGTAGCAGTTAGTAGTAGTAAAAGTAAAAATAGTAGTAACAGCAGTAGCAGCAGCAGCAGTTAGTAGTAATAGTAGTAGTAGCAGCATTTTAGTATTATTATTATTAATAGTAATAGTAGTAGTAGGAGTAGCAGTGATTAGTATTATCAGCAGCAGCAGTTACTAGTAATAATAGTAGTAACAACAGAAGCAATAATAGTAGTAGCAGTAGGTAGTACAAGCAGCAGCAGTTAGTAGTAGTAGTAGTAGTAGTAGTAGTAGTAGTAGTAGTAGTAGTAGTAGTAGTAGTAGTAGTAGTAGTAGTAGTAGTAGTAGTATAAGTAGCAATAATATCTACCTACTTGGCCTCCACTATAGGGAATCACCATCTTTGTGGTGGGTGTGGGTGATCGGGTGCTGAGGCAGGAGGTGGAAGAGATGGCCAGCTCCCCACAGAGTTTGTTTGATGCCCCAGACTTCAAGTTCTTGGTAGGGATGGTGCAGCTGCTTAGGGACAACATCTGTTCAGGTGAGATAATAAATGAAATAACAGGTGAGAAAAAATAAAGGAATAACTGGTAAGATAACGGAGGGAATAACAGGTGAGAGAAAGGAATGAAGAAATAATGGGTGAGATAATGAAAGAAATAACAAGTGAGATAAAGATAAAGGAAGAAACAAGAGGTAAGGTAAAGGACGAAAGAAATGAAAAGAGAAATAATAACACACAAAACATGTGAGAAAAAGACATAACAGATAAGACAATTAAATCAAATAACAGGGGAGACAAGAAAGCAAATACCAAGTAAGATAATGATTCACATAACAGAGGAGATAGTGACAGGTGAGTTAATAAAACACATGACTGGTGAAATAATGGAGAGTATAACGTGTTAGATAATAAAAGAAATAACAGGCAAAATAAGGAAAAACCTTAATTGATGAAATATTGAAAGAAATAACAGGTAAGATAACAAAACACAATTCAGGTGAGGTAATGGAACAAATAACAGACGAGATAATGAAACAACAAAACAGGTGAGACAGACCAGTCAACTGATTGATTCAACAAATTTTTCCAGACAGCTTGTAGATGCATAATGTTCTGTCTACAGTCATACAAAAAGTATATACATTATGTTCTGTTTACAGCCATAGAAGGTGTACAGGCATAATTGTTCTATATACAGCCATACAACATGTACATATATTGTGCTCTGTTTACAGCCACACAACATGTACATATATTATGTTCTATCTACAGCCATAGAAGGTATACAGGCACAACTGTTCTATCTGCATCCATACATATGTACATACATTATGTTCCATCTACAGTCACACAACATGTACATAATTATGTTCTGTCTACAGCCATATAAGGTATACAGGCATAATTGTTCTATCTGCATCCATACACCATGTACATACATTATGTTCCATCTACAGCCACACAACATGTACATACATTATGTTCAATCTACAGCCACACAACATGTATATACCTTCTGTTCTGTCCACAGCCTTAGAAGGTAAACAGGCATAATTGTTATATTTGTGTCCATACAATATGTACATACATTATGGTCAATCTACAGCTATACAACATCTACATACCTTATGTTCTGTCTACTTCAGCCATAGAAGGTGTTCAGGCAGGATTTTTCTATCTACAGCCATGCAACATGTACATACCTTATGTTTTATCTGCAGCCATACAAGTCACAAGCATAGCAGCCACATGGTCAACGACACCTGTGGCTACAACAACAAGACCACCAGTCCCAGGTCAGTTTTGTAAATGAGAAACATAGAGAGAAAGAATTGAGATTGAGATGGACAAAGAGGCATACAGAGATTAGGAAAGAGCAGAGAGAAGTGAGGGACAGATATACTGAGAGAGAGAGAGACAGAGAGGGAGAAGAGCAAACATGTTAGTGTGAGAGACAGACTGAGAGTGTGTGAGATAGAAAAGAGAGAGAGAGTGTGTGTATGTGTGTGCATGTGTGTATGTGTGTGCACATGAGAGCTGATGGAGAAAGGAGACATTACAAAAGAAGTGGATGAGACAGAAGCTGGAGGAAAAAGTGAAAGAGAACTCTAAAGAGGGGGGAAGAGTAAGAAAGGATGAATAGGGAGAGGTAGAGGAGAGACAAGGAAAAAAAAAAGAATATGAAACAGAAGCGCAGTGAAAGGGACAAAGAAAAAGAGAGCTAGAGAAAGAGGAAAAAAAAAAGAAATGAGGAATTAATAGGATAGGATAGAAAATGGAAATAAGAGGTTGGGACAAAAGCCAAATGAAACAAATCAAGAGAAATTGAGACAGATAGAGAGTGAGAGAGAGAGAGAGAGAGAGAGAGAGAGAGAGAGAGAGAGAGAGAGAGAGAGAAAGAGAGAGAGAGAGAGAGAGAGAGAGTAGAGAGAGAGAGAGAGAGAGGGGGGGGGAGAGAAAAAGAGAGAAAGAGAGAGACTAGAAACAAAAGGTGAGAGAGAGAGACAGACAGAAGACAGACAGAAGACAGACAGACAGACAGACAGACAGACAGACAGACAGACAGACAGACAGACAGACAGACAGACAGACAGACAGACATATGTGCTAACAGGAAGAAGAAACTGAAAATCAAGTAGTGGGGAGAGATGAGGAAAGAAATGTGGTTACGACAATAAGTAGTTCCCCACTAAACCGCAAAAACAGGAAAAATAAAAAAAAGACAAGGGGTTTTCTGTGCAGGGGCCATGCATGTTGGTCATTTTCCAGCAGTAAATATGTGAATAGCTGAATTACACCACAACAGCATAAGACTACTTGGGTAACACCTAGTAAGACCACGTGCATGAACTACAAGCTCTATCTTGAATCAAGTAAATGAATATAACCATCACACTGAACATCTGTTTATTTTCTTTAATACAAAACTAACCTGCTTCCTGTGCTCTGTTCAGACCATGTGCAGTCACGCGACAACAGGGGGACTGACTGTAGCACAGGCCAAGAACACAGAGACCAAGAAGCCCTTTTTTTCAGGTCCTGTCGTTTTTTCCTCACGAACTTGCCGGATTTTTGTTCGTGTACAGCCAAACCAAAATTATAATAGGCCAACAATCTATCTTCTCCTCGGGCCTGTCACAGACAGACAGATAGATGGATGGATAGAAAGATAGATAGAAAGATAGATAGAGATAAAGACAGAGAAGAAATATAATAACATTTGTTTCCAAGGTGTATAAGATAGCTCAGGCTATGGCAGGAAAATCAGAAATGCTTAGGATAACTCCACTGACACAAGTGACTTGTTCCTCAGAGTTATGTAAGCAGTGCTTGGTGGAAGGTGGGGTCGGGTTCAACCCCCTACCTACAGACTGTGAGAAATATGTAATGTGCCTGCCTCAGGGAGCCAGTTATGAGCCTCAGATCAAGTCCTGCCCTTTTGGAATGTTCTGGAGCAACGTAGCTGTGTCCTGCCTGGATGCTAGATATGTAGACTGCCCGGCTGGTGAGTGATTCATTGTCTGTGTATTGTAATATCATATAAGCATCATACACTCTTGACATGTAGGCCACATGTTTAATTCTCCATGGAGACAGATTTTAACAATTTACCCTGGCTTGTGGAAAAACCTGGCTACAAATGGGTATGAGGAAATGTTCTGTAAACATGATACAACCAAGTCTTTAGCAACATTACTTTCTTCTTCATTTTAATGTTCACTGGCTGTAAACTCCAGCAGAAAGTTCTGGTTGTACATCCATTTCTGAATTTCATATTTGTTCCAGAACTTGAGTTTTGTGTGCAAACTCATTTTGCAGATTTGGTTTATTTGTATTTAGATAGCTGGTTCACTGCCTCTCAGGCACTCCGAGACAAGAAGAACGCTACTCCCTCCGAGACCAGACAAGTGGAACACCTTGTACGGAGGAAAAGAACAGCTTGTGAAAACATGCAAATTCCACTACATGGCATTGGGCCAAAGGGCGAAAGCTCATGCGCCGCTGGATCGATAACAACAACAACAGGCACTCCACATTTGAATAGACACCCCCCCCCCCCACCCCCACCCCCCCCCCCCCCCACCACCCCCCCCCCCATAAGTCACCTTTTACGTGTCTGCGTCTGTGGCTTAGGTGTTATTAACTTATTTAATAATTCCAAGGTGTTGGATTTTATTCTAGCTGTGGACGATTTGGCAGCAGATTGCCTTGTATTGGTTTCAACAGTGGTATCGAGAAATGGCTATAGGGCATATAGGGCTAGACCTATATTTTTATAGACCAATCGGCACAAGGTGGGTGATGTGGTCAGCATCACGCCGGCCACCTTCACTTCCCGGAACTGCACTTGGTACCCACTCAAGGCTGGGTCGACCTGGGAGTCAAGGTCTTTTTTTTTTTAAAAGTCAGGCCCCGCTAGGGAGCGAACCCATGACCTTCTATTCCACACGCGAACGTCTAGCCACTACACCTCGGTGACTCTAGGCTATGACAATACTGAAAGTAAAATTTCCTAGTGAAATCACAGACATTCAAAAATGCTGGGGTTGGTTCTGCTGTATGCTGTAAAAGGGCAAGCAACTAACTTTAACATGTTA